AGAGAGAGAGAGAGACAGAGCGTGAGCAGGGGAAGGGCAGAGAGATGGAGACAGAATGTGAAGCAGGCTCCAGGCTCTGAGCTGTCAGCACAGAGCCCAACGCAGAGCTCGAAGTCAACCGACTTCAGACACCCAACTGACTGAGCCACCCAGGCACCCCATCCAAATTCCTCCTTTTAAATGTGGGAGGCTGGCTGTGGGCATTGGCCATGCTCAGTTCACTTCAACAAAAGAATGATAAAGTCACGATTGCAGACTGATGTCTGAACCAGCCCCCCTTCCCACACCCAGGGGTCTACCCCTGCAGCATGGAGACCCCGTGTAAAGTGTAAAGGGCTAAGCACTCCTCCTCAGCTCCTCCCATGACAAACCTGACCAACCACAGCCATCACTGCCCAACTGCTTCACTGTCCCTGAAATCTCCACGGATAGGGAGGATTGGAAAATGTGAGAAAGAGGAAAATCGGGCAGAATAAGGAGGGAAGGAAGAAACGAAGGGGAAAATTTCAGGTTCCAAGGAGGCCTCTTGATGACCTTCACCTGCCCAACCTACTGGAGTAACTGAGCCCAAATGACACGCAGTAGGGAATCGTGCTTTTATAAAAGGACTGAAGTGTCCACTGAAGTGTCATTGTCCATCTTCACCTTGTGAGCCCCCTCCCTCACAGTGAAACAGAACAGCACATGGGACCCTGAGCAGTCACTATAATGTAGCAATTCTGAATTTTTCAACCCCACTCCAAAAGCAAGCTCATGGGTTGATCAAGGATGAACGTCCCCTATGCAAAAACAAAAACAAAAACATTCTATCAGAAAGTCCCAAACTTCCTTTGGAATAGGGTCCAGTTCCACAGCAAGGTAAAAAGACCACCAGTTCTGTGTCTCGCCAGCTTTCCCTTCTGTCACTTGGGCATTCTGGGAGTAAATAAAATGATTCTAGTCCCCTGCACAGATCACACACCTCTACTCTCTTTGCCTAGGACATGTTTCTCTCATTTCTTTTTACCTGCAAGCTTACCTTTGAGGTAGGGTAGGGGTAGACATGTGCATGGGGATACAAAAATGTCAGCAACGCATGAGTCATATGTCACCACCTCTGCGAAGAGCCTCATCACCCTAAGTAAAGTGTCAAATAAGCCCACGCCCAACTTTCTCTACATATCTCACTTATTCAGTTTATTTCTTGCATCTCCAGCCCACTGGGATGTAAATTCCATGAGAGGGGGGATTTTATCAGTTGTGTTTGTTGCTATATCCCCAGCATTATGGCCAAATGAGTAACAAATGCATGCCTAAGCAAATCTCCCATAGCACCATGTATTAAATTACATGTTTATGTGGCAGTTTTGTCATTATTATTTTTTTAAAAAATTTTAATGTTTATTTTTGAGAGAGAGACAGAGCGTGAGTGGGGGAGAGACAGAGAGAGGGGGAGACACAGAATCCAAAGCAGGCTCCAGGCTCTGAGCTGTCGGCACAGAGCCTGACGTGGGGCTTGAACCCATGAACCATGAGATCATGACCTGAGCCGAAGTTGGATCCTTAACCGACTGAGCCACCCAGGCACCCCGTGTCATTATTGTTTATTTTTTTTTTGCTTCGTATTTTGCTAAACAGTAAATTTCTTGAAGGTAGAAGCTACGATTTTTTGTGTTTGCATTTTTGTACCATAATATCTCACATAGTGCCTCCAGCATAGTTGGCTCTCCATAAATGTTTGTCATATTAAATTCAAGTTTAAACGAAGACTTTTTTCAGTAAGGAAAGAACCTTTACATTTCTTCAGATTCACAGACCTCTTTAACATTTTGATTCTGTCTCTTAACTGTGAGGCCTTCCGCAAGTTATGGAACTTCCTCGAACCTCCATAACCCCAATAGTAAAATGAGAAAATATCCCCACCTCATCGACTTTTAAGAAAAATAAGTGCAACGACCTGGAAAGTGCTTAGCACAGTGTCTGGCATAGAGACCTACCCAAGAGATGCCAGCTGTCTCATTTCCATCGTGCAGATGATGGGGATAATAAAGAACACTCGTATACAATGAATAACAGAAAAATCTGAAAAGGGCATTTGCCCCAAAGAATAGTGTTGACAAAATGTTCAGGAGACTCTCCCGAGCATCAGGGATCATCAGAACAGGGAAACCCTTCTGGGAGCACAGTGTTAGCAGCAGGCTCCCCTCAGCCAGGCCAGACAAGCCTCTGCGGCTGTGGAATCGTGATTAAATAGGGCAGCTCTTTCATTTCCCTTTTGCTGGCAAACTTTCAGGAGACAGTGGAGTTTCCTATCTACTTACACACCAATCAAGCAGTCAGGCTTAAAAAGATGTATGTATATATGTCTCTGTCTTCTGGATTGTCAAATATGACCGGACTGAAAATCCATAACTCCCATTTTTGCTCAGTGACACTTTTTCAAACAAATCCAACCGCTTTCTTTTTTTCCTTTGCACCGTTAGAAGTTCTGGCAGAGTGTGTTTTGGCCTTTGCACTCAGGCTGCAAGCTCTGTAAAGTCAGAGGTCATGTTTGTCTCCTTCACTGCCAGAGCCAGGAGCCCAGATGCAGTCCAGACCCTGGTAAACAGTGTCTGCTCTATAAATGTTTATAGAATAAAATTTTGGAATCCAATTATTGATATTTAATCCTACACTAATCTGCGGAATAATTTTAATATATAAATTATACTAAGGAATTAATTCATTAAAATATCCTTGAGAGGGGCGCCTGGGTGGCTCCATCGGTGGAGTGTCCGACTTCGGCTCAGGTCATGATCTCATGGTTCATGGGTTCAAGCCCTGCATCGGGCTCTGTGCTGACAGCTCAGAGCCTGGAGCCTGCTTCAGATTTTGTGTCTCCCTCTCTCTCTGCCCTCCCGCACTCACACTCTGTCTGTCTCTCTCTCAAAAATAAATAAACATTAAAAAATAAAATAAAATACCCATGAGAACCATATTATCTGAAGTTTTGTAATATATGACTGTAGCTGTTCTCATGGTCTCCATCCTGGACACTGTCACCTGGACTGCTGGTTTCGTAGGCCTAGAGATGAGCAACCCATATCTGTGGCAGATGGTTCTCCTTGGGGGGAGGAGTTAGACTAATTTTAGGAAAGTGAGCCCTTTCATCCCTTGTCTTGGCCCAATGTGTAAATTCTCTGAAGACTTTCCAAGGCACCAATAGGAGCACTGTGAATATCAAACGCTCTCCATGCACAGATTCAGTTCTCTTACAGTTTCTGTGAGAATCAGAAAGAAGCTTGAAAATAGGGAAATGAATTTTTTTTTAATTTAAAAAAGGGAGCGAGGAGAGCACATACCTGAACAGAAGTCATCAGAGTATCTGTCATAGACGGCCCTACAGTCCCTTTCGTCACACTCACAGGTGTCCCCGTGAATATCTCCCCAGTCTCCAGTTGGGTCAACATCGTGGCAAGAACATTCACCACACACACAAGTCCCTAGATGAGAAAACAATTGTATACGGTTTTAGCGAAGAAACACCATGAAAGAAAGCATCTTGCATGTTGCTTTTTAAAATCTTTTGTTTACTGTGTATTTGGAAAATACATACATTGGATAAAAACATTCTACAAAGGAAAAACACCAGCTAATGTGGACAGCAGAGATTCTTTAATAGAAGTTATTTTCTGTGTCTATTATTGAGTGGGTTGTGGGATGTGCCCTTAGCACAGTAGTGGTTTCTTTCCAAAACAGCATCAAAACAATGAATACGAGTTAGAATCCCAGCCCTCAAGAAATCTGCAACCTATCTGACAAAAGAAAGCTACTGGATGACTGTAGGGTCATGTACTAAAATGTAAAAGGTGGTTGTGCCTGGATTTTTAAAGTATCTGTATCTGGGGGCACCTGGGTGGCTCAGTTGGTGGAACGTCTGACTTCGGCTCAGGTCGCAATCTCACAGTTCATGAGCTTGAGCCCTGCATCGGGCTCTCTGCTGTCAGTGCAAAGCCTGCTTCAGACCCTTTGTCTCCCTCTCTCTGCTCCTCCCATGCTCAAATACTCTCTCTTTCTCTCAAAAATAAAATAAACATTTAAAAAAATAAAAATAAATAAATATCTGTATCTATGTTTTAAAAAATGAATACCCTTGGCTTTCATAATAGTATAGCTGATGTGGGTGCAGGGGATAAGGATAGGTATATGCTAAGGTGAGTCCAACCTGACACTGAATAAACGATTTAGGCGATACAGGACACTTGTTCTATCCCTGATTAGCTGTGTCTACAACAAAGGTTTTCTGGTCCTTGGAGATGGGCTAACAAGGAAAAGGAGGTAAGCCTGTGCAGGGATTGGTGTCTCTCTCCCGCCCCCCACCATCCCCCCACCCCGGAAACAATAATGAGGAAGAGTGCCAGGGGAGACGCGGATGGTTCCTTCTGAGAAAAAAAAAAAGACATATTGCTGTGCCTCCTCCAGACTTGCCTTCAGGAACCCCCGAAATCTCACTGCTACCCAGCCTCATTTGAGCATGCTGCCTCCCAGTCTGCTCTGCCAGATCTCCAAATCAGACAGCTCCAAGTGCAGGAAAGGACAGGCAGAAGGTGAGACCTCAGGGGTTGGCGAGTAGTGTGTGTCTCTCTCAGAGCCCACACATCCCTGCTGCAGAACCGGCCCTGATCCACAGCCCAATCATTGCCATTTTTCTCCTCTTTCCTTTCAACATCTCACGGGAACACAGCCCAAGATTCCTATACTGACATCATGACAGTGATGACTGGACCTACTGAATAAGAAGGACGCGGACAGAAACATGTCCTTACATAGAAAAGGAAAACATAACATGAATTAGTGAGCTATAGAGTCAGACCTATTGTGCATACATTAAAAAGAGGACTTTTCTTTATAATTTTTCTTCCAACTTCAGGCCTTTTGCTTTCCTTTCCCTATGTATAGAAATTTGGCCCACTTTACTCTTCTGCATTAATTTCTTACGCCATTTTTTGAAAAGGGAAAATTGGTTGTATGTTAAGGTTTCCCACATAAGCATGACCTGATAAAAAGCACCATTCATCTACAGAAATTAAAAAATATAATTTTCCAACTTTCCAGACTTTTGTAATATTAAAAGAAGGAAATATGGGGGCGCCTGGGTGGCTCAGTCAGTTGAGCATCCGGCTTCGGCTCAGATCACGATCTCACAGTTTGTGAGTTCGAGCCTCGCGTCGGGCTCTGTGCTGACAGCTCAGAGCCTGGAGCCTGCTTCCAATTCTGTGTCTCCCTCTCTCTGCTCCTCCCCTGCTCATGCTCGCTCTCTCTCTCTCTCTC